AGTATAACATAGGATATTTACCTTTGAAAATGGATGTGCCGCTTAGTTGGAAATGTCGTGGTACTTGAACTTAGAGTGTGAAATACATTGACTTTCTGGAATATAAGCCCATGTTGCTTAGAAGGAATGTTTCGGCATATTACGGGTGTTTCCTCCTTCACTTGAAATGGTTATTTTACAGACAGTACAGCAGCACTGAAATCATCTTTCTTGGTAAAATGAAATGACTCCTTCTTGTTGCAAGTGTCCAGCAGCATAGATGTATGAGTTTGACATAGTTTTGCAATGCGTAACTCTAAAGGAACTGATAAACTCGGATGCATACAATTCCAGTGGATCTGACAATTTGGACCTTGTTCTCGATTCCCATCCCTAGTAATAAGTTTGCGTCACTGGGTGCAAATTAGCTGCCGCCAACACACAATGATTATTGAAACCTTTTTTATTCAGGGCTAACTCTCTGAACATTCACATTTGCATGAGTGCTCTGTTTACAAGGACATATGAACAATTAGTTTGCAGAATTAAAATATGATTAATGAATTAAAACAAGGACAGAAACGTCTGTTAAAAATCTCTCATCCAGCTGTTGGTAATGTTTGAATAATTTAGGTGAGCTGTGAAAAGCTCTTTCATTCATTTAAAAGGTACTATGTCATTAGTGGTCTTATTCCTAGAAAAGCACTCGGTATCGATTTTGAAATTATGGGCTGATACAGATGTTTTTAAAAACAATTCAGCTGACACAGATACTGATGCTTTTGTATTGTTTATTTATTTGTTATTTATATCCCCCTTTTGTGCCAGGGAAGCAAAGAAATCTACACTGTAAAAAACTGACATGTTTTAAAGTTATTAAGCCCTTCATTACTCTACTTTAGGATGAGCACAAATTCAATCAAACAAAATTCATGGGACAGCCTTAAATACAACCCTTCACATGAAAAACATCTTTAAAAAATGCTTAGCTTGTATCATATGTCATATTTCCCTCTCTAATATCTATTTTATATTGCTGTGAAAACAACCTATTTCTCCTTTAGCTGTATATATTCAAGTTTCTCACCAAAACCTACATTCTACAAGATTTTAACACATTGTGATGTTTTAATTAACCTTTACCCAATACTAAATTTAACACAGATTCGTTATTCACAATGTAACATTATCAGGGAAACAATAGGGCGCGTTCCCTGACGCAACAATAGTGCATTTACTGCTTCCTTTTGTCCTGAAGGAATCCCAGGGAAGATTTCTGTTCGTCCCAAACATATTTTCTATTGTTTAGGGAGGACCGGACGCCGGCTACTACTAGCGATCTCGTCACACAACAGAGAAATTACACAGTCATTGTATTCTTCTTGTACCTACTTATTAATTTAATTTAATTTGTTGTTATCCGTGAATGTCATGTTAATTGCCAAAATGCAGATGGCAGTCAACAAGAATATCAGCCGATACCGATGTTCGGACGATAAATGGATGCATCCCTAAAAAGTACTTAAATTTCAATACTAACTTTACAAATGAAAAGGCAGTTATGTTTACGCATATAGGATGAAGGTGTGTAGTTTATATTCTTTAATGTAGCTGCCTTCAGTAATAAAGGCTCGCACTGCGATGTAGCTGTAGGAATGAAACTGACACGCCAAAGCAGTGATGAGAGTTGTAACTGTCAGGCTGCAGGACCCTCTAATGAGATCTGACCTGAGGGGGGAAGGTCACATAACTTTCTGCCACACTGTGCACATAACATAGACATTATGTAAACATTTTGAACTTAAAAGCGGAGTGCTTGTGTTTCATAGTTGCTCCAAGTTTTGATCAAATTCCGACTATAAAAGTCTCAGCTCTGTGGGATTTAGTTCTTGTAAAAGAACAACAGCAAACAACTCAGAACAACAACAAATTTACAAGTTGGATCCTCTCCAATACATAACAGATACTGAATGATTAACTACAGCTGATGATTTTATGACGAATCACGTGGCCTTCATGCTCTGCAGCTGGGTGAAAGCAAAAGTTAAACAGCAGAATCATTTCTGGTAATTCACCCTTCAATTATTGATGTGTTTATTTATTTATCTAACACACAGGGGTGCACAGGCAAGTGTGGCCGCTGTGTTGTAGTGCAGTGACAACAGGAAGTTAGCTGCTCTTTTGAAAAGTCAGCTGTTATATATATATATATATATTTTTTTTTTTTGCATGTTCAGAAATTAAACGGACGTAACCTGGAAAAGAATTGCGACACAGATGATTGAGATCATACAGGTTTATACATGTCTTAATCGTCAGGGGTTTTTTCCATCATAATGCTGTAGATCATTGGCAGTGAAACACTGGTAGTCATTTTGTAAGAGCAGGCGTCACTGCATTTGGAATAAAAAGCTGCAACACTATTTTCAGCTCAGTGATATCTGAATATATTTTGAGTCACTATCAGGGGCTGCAGATATGCCTCTGCCATGCTAAACAGTCTGAGGAGTTAATTTTTAACATTACCTCTCCAAGTTGTTTAATATATTACAATATCCTGCTCCCAGTGCTGTTTGTACATCTCAATATACTGCAAGATGGTGCAACTGTATCGTCAGAGGTGCTGATGCCAGAGGTGGTTTCTGCAGAATTTATGGCTTGAACACACCCTAGAAAAGTAGGGAGGACACTGCTGGCTCCATGTATTTAGATTTTAATTCAATAGTTTTCATCTCTTAGGTATTTCCCCTTTGAGTGCATGAAAATAACAAATCATAGAGGAGGATGAATTTTAAATCAACTGAGAATAAACCTCTAAATTGGTCATAGACCTAATTTTATTTATTATGTAGACTTCAGGTTTTTCAGAATGTCAGTCTGACAGTCCAGCATTTCATTTGATTGTTGATTAACATTTGATTAATAACTATGAAATTTGATTCAGATTTTTCATCAAGCAACAGGTCAACTTGTACCACACTTTAATTAATAAAAGGATACCTCTAAATTTAGTGACCAGATGTCTTGTCAGGCTCAGCAGCACTTAAGGCCCTGACACACCAAGCCGACAGTTGGCCGTCGACCAAAGTCAGGCCGTTGGTGAGCATTCTGTCGCCCTAGTTTTTGTAGTGTGTCCTGCACCGTTGGCAGCTTTTCGGCCGATTGAGCATGTTGAATCGGTGGCGGAGCTTGTCGGTGAGAGAGATCACTCTGATTAGCTGTTCAGGTTTTATTTCCTTGCCCCTGTAGCGAGTGAATCTGCCTGTAGTGAAACCGGGGCTAACCGGTGCTTCCTCCTCAGGCTCCACTTCACTCAGCTGCCCAACAGACCCGCTGCTTCTTCACACTTTAACCTGAATAACAAACAGGAGCTAGCTGGGAGCGGCTAGCGGAGCGTTAGCTGCAGCATGACCGGAGGGAAGCGCAGCCAGTTAGCCTCTGCTAGTCTCTGAGCTAGCCCCGGGTCTCTGTTTGGATCCAACCGGAGCACCGAGCCCTGGTTTGTTATTCAGGTTAAAGTGGGAAGAAGCAGCGGGTGTATCGGGCAGCTGAGTGAAGTGGAGCCTGCGGAGGAAACACCGGGACCGTCTGGATGTAATAGTCCGTGGAGGTGCTGCGGTGCTCGGCTGCACAGATAGGAAACCCCTTGGCTGACAGGATGTACCACTGTCTCACTCCTCTGCCACGCAGGCACAGAACGTACATGCCACTTGGCCGTCGGATGTAGTCCGTGTAGTGTGTTCAAATGCAACTGACACAGGGCGACGTGAGGCGACATAGACCACGGAACAGTTGGCTTTCGTCGCCGCTAGTTCTTTGATGTCGGTTTGGTGTGTCCGCACCTTTAAAGATCGATGCTAGCATAGCATGCTAACATGCTGATAAGTGTCTAGAATGTTCCACTAACATCCTCGTCGTGCGTCATGCTTTAGTGCTTTACAATTTTAACAAAGTTGACAACGATCAATTTTGTAGCATAGAAAGAAATAAAGCTCCTTAGAAGCAAGGTTATTATAGGTAACTGAAAATAATAATGATAATAATAATAATAATAATAATAATAAAAAAAACATTTTAGTTAAATGAAATAAAAAACAAGACTTAAGAAAAGAAAAGAAACTAACAAACAATATTGTGTACTTCCAAAACAAACTGATTGTTGTTGTAATACCTATTCACAACTCCTTAAACCTTGCCCCTGTCTAATACCCCTATATTATAATTAAAAGACAAAACAAAGACTTGCTCTGAAACTAATAAAAACTAAAATAAAATTAAGCATTTTTAAACAATGAAAACTATTCTGAAAAGTACACCTGCTCTGAAAACCAACTGAAACTTAAGTAAAAACAATTAATTCCTCTGCTGTGAAATGTAACCGGTGTGGCAGCAGTGTGTCAAATTCATCCACCAACGCTAATTTCTAATTTTACCTTTTCTAACTTTCAAGGTTTGAGACATGTCTGAACTAGTGGCGACCATTCATTGACTTCTTAGTGTGTTGAGCTGTGGCATTTAACTGACAAAGCTCTTGAGCTGGTGCAAAATGTTTTTTGGTTAAGGCTGCTATAAATGATAGAAATATGAATTAACCAACTGTATTAGATTGTTTAAAAAACTTACTGTCCTATCTTGTGATATACTGTGTTATTATAAATGTCACTGTGATTCTGAATGAGATTTTCTCACATATGAAACATGATTTGTTCTCCTTTTAAGTTGGATTTAATTTTATGTTATTGCTACAGCTCTAGGTTTAAAAAATATTAGCTTCCTCATCTCTTACTTATTTCCTTATTTTTAGTCTAGTGTTACTTTATCAGGAAGCCAAGATTTTACTCAACCATAGCATGTTAATTCTGTCCCTGGAGAATGATCATAGACCACAAATTTACTCTTACAAACCTCTTCCAGAGCTGAGTGAATGCCAAACTCTAACCATGGAAATGCCATGGGTGCCTGTTGAGCCACACAGGGGCCATTAACACTTCCTCACCAGTGCTGTCTTGTCTTTCTCTCAGTGGTTGGGTGCCCCCTCCTGCCAGCGAGGCAGCTACGCCTTCTATAAGTCAGTGAGCAGCAGAGCTCAACCCGAGGGGCCCGTCCAGGTATGGAAGCTGGGGGAGTTTTACTTCATCCGGTGTGGACCACAGGATCCTGTGTGCATCGCAGAGGTGAGATTACCTGCTCATATGTTAGAATAAACCTTCTATAATCAAATGTTTTATAATAACAACACTTTACATGACTGTATAATGTGAAAGAGTTTTATACCTTCTTCATATTGTTTTTTCCAACCCGCAACTTAACTGTTTCGCTTCACGCAAACTGCTCTCATCAGTGTTGTTTTCAGGTGATGCAGGCATCAGTGAATAAGATGTAAAAAGTCACTGTACACTACCTGCTCAGCAGCAAACAGCAGACAGACACAGTTAGCTGGTGAACACAGTGGAGCATGTAGCAGCTAAAGAGCGAGATATTTCCCTCAGGAGCTGGTAGAGACCAAGAACAAAACTAAAATACAGTGAATGCTGGTCTTAGATTCATCAAATGGTCACAAACACGACTTCAGATGAATGCTAATGTTGCTGGTTGTGTAAACGCAGCTGTTGTAAATAAATTTGCCATATGAATCTAACAAGGTGATAATATTTCAAATATTTTATTGACAGCTTGTTTCAACTGCCCACAAGTTGCCAAAAAGAGTTATAACAGTTTTAAAATGATGTTTCTCAGTCATGTGCATAGAGGTCCCAACCTTTGTGTTTAAAAGTCTGGTAACTGGACGATGGCTGATTAAAAGACACAACTGTGAAGAGACAATTTGTAGCTGCTCAGTCACAATGTGGGAGAAAAGATCTTAGCGTACCCTTAAACTGCCACAACGTTCCCAGGCTTTATGCCTGTCTGCACTTTAGACTTAAGACTTTAGAGGCCTTCTTTTCATGTCATTGTGATTATTAGAGCTGAAACATTTGTCAATTATTCAATTAGTCTATTAAACATTTTGTTTTTATTCTAAACATTACATTCCAGCTTCTCAAAGTTAACTGTTTATGTCTTTTCTTTGTCATATATGATAGCTAACTGAATATTTTTGAGTTTTAGACTGTTGGTCGCACCAAATTTGTAGTTTTAAAACTTCATTATTGGCTCACAGAAGTTATAAGAAGCACTTTTTCCTGTTTCACAAAGATTCATTGATTAACTGGGGAAATGAACGTGAGATCAATAGCTAATGAAAAAAAATGTTAGTTGTTGCTTTAAACTTTTTTTGTTTAACGTCTTGATGTTTGTATTGTAACTCTGTAAAGGTGACTATGGCACTCTCATAGGGTTGAAGCACTGAAAAGGACAGATTAAAACAATTATATTGAAGCAGCAGCAGAGATATCCTGACTTCCAATACCTAGTAGCTCCATAAACACTGTATACTACACTTCCCATAATGCACCTTGACACAGCCATTGGTAAGACCCTGCCAGACTGATAAACAGCTGTGTCTTTCTGATTTTGTAGAAAGCTCCTGCAGAGTCACAGAGGACATTATTCAACTGTTTTCACAGACCTGAGTAATACCGACCATGACGAGTCAGCTGATCTTGTTGCATAAAGTTGTTGCAGTGTCCCTTTAACTGTTGACTATGACTAACCCAAACTAAATCTACAGACTGAACCCTAAATGGGTCATGCTGCTGCTCTCCTGCCTGCTCACATGAGCTATAGAAGACTAATAGTATGTTTTATTGAGTCTACATCCCACGGCAAGGCTAAATTTAGTCAATTTAGGTCGCACGCTGAAGAAGTGTTAATGAGATTGTATTTAGGTTGATAGTATTGTATTGACAGTGAATGATTGTAATGGAGGATGTGAATATTTCAGGCTACTGCATTTGTTCAAAGGACAAACCCTGGAAAAAGAGACAAATTCCAATTTTGCGGTTTCATGACTCATTTAAACAGCTTGTTTTATCGCATTTTTTCTGTTATCATCATCATCATTGTTATTAATAATAATAATGATAATAGTGATATAATAACAATAATAATAAATACTACTACTACTACTACTATTACTAATAATAATAATAATAAAAGAAAATACTGAAGGGACAAGGTAACAAAGGTTGGAGGTAAAT